GAGGGACCTATAAATACCTAAGCACGTGACCCAGAGCTTCCTCTTTTGACTTGTGCATCGGAACGCCCGCCCACCTCTCCCTATATATAGGGCATTTTGCGATTGACCTTGCTATGCTGCCGTATGTTGTCTGTCATTGGGACAGGGGCACAGCAGGAATTTCCCCCACTTGGCCGATTGGCTGTTGCCATTTAGGTTTTGCCTGCCATGTAGCAAATCGCCACAACTTGTAAGGTTGCAGATAGGCTCTGGTTCAGGTGATAGGGATGGGGGAATGGTCTCGCCATCCCTATGTGAAGGGTATTCCGTTAAAGGAAGCCGGGGACTCAACTTGGTTTGGTCAACCCTCGAGAGGGGGTTGTGCCTGTACCTGAGTCCAGGGGAGCATCTGGAGAGTGGACATAGCCTGTACCTGAGCTTTCTACCTACCTCAGGTGCTCACCCTTGGCTGACCTATGATAGAGCTCTGGGTCAGAGCTACATGCAAGGGTCCAGGGAGCTAGTCGAACCAGAGCCTATGCAACCACTCACTTTCTGTAATCAATAAAGTTGTGGCCTAAATTCTGCCAAGAACCAAACCAAAATTTGAGTCATGTGTGAATTTATTTAGGGGGGAGGTCTCTGGATCTGAACACGCAAAGGACAGCTGGACATATAAAGGCCATTACCTTCAGTAGCTTAGGGCCTCATCAAACCTAAATCTGGCCCTGCGCACTCTCTCTCTCTCTCTCTCTCTCTCTCTCTCTCACACACACACACACAAAACACCAGTTTGCCATTTATTAAGGTTGCACAGCAACCACAAGACTCAACTTGTATCTGTAGTGGATAGAAGCAGCCTAAACTATTTTGGCTCCACCTTAGGTCATTACCTCTAGGGTTTTATAAGGAGTATAGCTATTATAAGAAAAGCCAGCATTTGGTTGAAGCTGGAGGAAATCCCTCCTTGCTGCAGTGGGGACTGAGGAAGACTTTACTCAGAATTGAGGTAATGCAAACACTCTGCACAATTATTAGAGAAATCAAGGCTGGGACATAACCAGGAGTTTCAGGTAAGCCAGGAGCTGGGAACCAGCAGCCGTGGGGCAAGCCAGGAGTCAGGAGCAAAGAATAAGTGATGATGCAGGAAGGCAAATCATGTTGCTCAAGGAAGACTCAGCTGGAACAGGAAACCCTTTTATGCTCCTTCCTGCCCACAAGGATCCAATGGCCAGCCTGGGTGGGTGGAGTCAGTCAAGGGCCTGAAGGAACTTGCTTGAAAATCTGCCACTTGCATTTCTGGGCTCACCCTATGGACGAGTTGTGCACAGATCCAGCAGCTCCTGACAATGGCTCAGAAGGGGTGGGCAGGTGGGCTCAGAGAGCAAAGCAGGGAGGCAAGTGATCACCATAGCACTTGGGCCTGAAGTCTCAATCTCAGCTCACTTTTACATGAGAGCAAAATGAGAAAGTGCAGCCAGGTGTGCGAAACTGGCTGTCTCAGCACAATTAAGGTTCACGTTGCTCTTTTTGGATAAAGATGGATGGTGCTCAGACCGTGTCCAAAAATTAGTGGGTGAGCGAACAAAAGCCACCTTAATTGTATTAAGAGTGCATCGTTAGTGTTCTGTTAAGTCCTCGAATTTTGTTTTTGAAAGAATTAATAGCTTTAATGTAGAAATAAATTGCTCCATGCTTCTCCCTTTGTTCTCTTGCTAGGAAGTGCTCCCAGATGTAATTGCAGGAGCTAATTACAACCTTTTGTTAGCGGAAAACATGGCCAAGCTGGAAAAGGCGGGGGAGCAGTCATATTATAGTTTAAAGCAAGGTGAGCTTCCAATTAAAGTGGGTGATGCCTCCCCCTGTTAATACTTCATGTAGCAGCGGTAGCTATCACCCCTGACCAGTGCTGACCTGGGGAACAGCTGACCCATATCCACCCCCAAATCAGTTCAGAGGTGGGGCTAATGTTAAATTAGTGTTCTTTTAAATTCAAAAAAGCCCCCTAGCTAAACATACGGTCAGGAGAGAAAATATGCTTGGTTCCCCGGAATGAACTACAAAGAGCAGGAAAGTCAATTCTTCTGGGTGGTGTCTCGCCAGGGTTTTCTCTGTAGGCAACAGACCCCTGGAGCCAGCAGGACTGAATCCTCACCAGCCAATGAGCAAAGGATCCTATCCTGTTGGTTGTGTTTAAGCTAGTTGGAAAAATAAAGCAGCGTAACAAGAACGGCTGGAAGTCAAGTCACTTGGTGGGTGTCCGTATGGGGTAGGTGTGTAGGTATGTTGATATGTATAGTATAGGTAGGTATTATATAGAGTAATGTAGGTATGTTTTATCTTATGAAAATTAGGTAGTGTGTTGTGTACATGTATTGTGTAAACGTATATGTATGTGTTTTATATGTTAATAAAATAAAATATATTTTTTTAAAAAAATAAGGAACCTATCCTGCTGGGATCCCATTCCCTAGCGTGTGGTTGCAGGGATGTAGAGATCACTTTCCACACTCAAGTTGCATAGTTATGGTTAGCATGGTAGATTTTAGGGCTGGGGTTTTTAAGTGATATTTATTACTGCTAGGGAGGTAGGGAGGGTTTGAAGGGGGCAGGTAATAATTGGTGGGAGTAGTTGATGTTGTCTTTCACCTAGACTGAGTTCACAGGAACCTTTCCCCTGCATCATGTGGTTCTTTCTTTTCCCCTCACCCTGTCTGCATCCTCTTCCTTCCTTGATTGCCAGTGGAAGTTCTGTACACTTTATAAAGTTTTTTCACTTCTTTTTCAAAAGCGTTGGGCAATGATGAATTTTGGAGGGCGATGGTGGACATTGCAGCTTAAGAACATAAGATGAGCCAGTGTGGTGTAGTGGTTAAGAGTGTAGACTCGTAATCTGGGGAACCGAGTTCGCTTCCCTGCTCCTCCACATGCAGCTGCTGGGTGACCTTGGGCCAGTCACACTTCTCTGAACTCTCTCAGCCCCACTCACCTTACAGAGTGTTTGTTGTGGGGGAGGAAGGGAAAGGAGAATGTTAGCCGTCTTTGAGACTCCTTAGGGTAGTGATAAAGTGGGATATCAAGTCCAAACTCTTCTTCTTCTTCTTCTTCTTCTTCTTCTTCTTCTTCTTCTTCTTCAATGACCCATTTAGTGGAGTATCCTGCTTTCTTAGTGGCTGATCAGATATCTGAAGTAGCCTTCTTTAAGGTCCAGCTTTCACTTCCATACATCACATCACTACTGGGAAAACCATAGCTTTAACTATACGGACCTTTGTTGGCAAGGTGATGTCTCTGCTTTTTAAGATGCTGTCTAGGTTTGTCATTGCTTTTCTCCCAAGAAGCAGGCGTCTTTTATTTTCATGACTGCTGTCACCATCTGCAGTGATCGTGGAGCCCAAGAAAGTAAAATCTCTCACTGCCTCCATTTCTTCCCCTTCTATTTGCCAGGAGGTGATGGGACCAGTGGCCATGATCTTCGTTTTTTTGATGTTGAGCTTCAGACCATATTTTGTGCTCTCCTGTTTCACCCTCATTAAAAGGTTCTTTAATTCCTCCTCAGATGCATTACTGCATTATTTGACCATGGGGATGGAACATAGCCATTGTTGCTAGTAGCTGCTGATAGCCCTCTCCTCAATAAATTTGTCTAATCCTCTTCTAAAACCATCCAAGTTGGTGGCCATCATTGCCTCATGTGGAAGCAAGTTCCTTAATTTAACTACTCACTGACATAGTACCTTGTGAGCTCAGTCAGTATCTGGTGGGCTGCTTGGTGCTGTCTGCATGGGCTGGGGGGAGCAAGCAACACAAGCAAGGGAAAGGCTGCTCAGTGCTTCGCTGAGTCTTGGGGATCTCAGCCCAGGAGATCTCCTTCTGCAACCCTCCAGTGCTTTCTTTAGCATATGCGCCGCCGGGGTGCAAAGATTCGCCCAGGGCCCCCAAATTTAGTTTAGCCCTCAAATTAACTTTTATTATGCTTATGTCAGACACCACGCTTATACCTTATCTCTTGTTTACGAAAGAAGGGAGGAAAAAGAAACAAACTTTTTTATTTGCTCATTTATTTACAATACATTTATACTTAAGTATACAACAACACCACACGTAACATAATATATTGATGTAAGAGTTAATTTCGTGTGCACGGCGCCGTTGTGAATTACAAGCACCATTGTTGAGTCTGACAAGCGCCACCACTGATGCGGCGCATCTTTGGTAAATCAGTGCACAAAATTGAAAGTCCTTTAGTGAAACAGTAGATATGCATTTTGGTAATACCTAGGTATATATGTACCATATTTTTCGCTCTATAAGACGCACCAGAACATAAGACCCACCTAGTTTTTGGAGGAGGAAAACAAAAGAAAAAATATTCTGAATCTCAGAAGCCAGAACAACAAGAGGGATCGCTGCGCAGCGAAAGCAATGATCCCTCTTGCTGTTCTTGCTTCTGGGATAGCTACGCAGCCTGCATTCGCTCCATAAGACGCACACACATTTCCCCTTACTTTTTAGGAGGGAAAAATTGAGTCTTATAGAGCAAAAAATATGGTATTTTGTTTTTCTAGCTTGATCAAAATTATTTATTATTTCATAAAAGGGAGATAGTTAAGAGCAGGCTTCCTCAACCTCGGCCCTCCAGATGTTTTTGGCCTACAACTCCCATGATCCCTAGCTAGCAGGACCAGTGGTCAGGGACAATGGGAACTGTAGTCTCAAAAAATCTGGAGGGCCAAGGTTGAGGAAGCCTGGTTAAGAGCTTAGGCAGCTTCAGCGGCGGGCACCTGGCTCCCCCCAGAATTTGGCGCCCGGGTGCCCCACACCCCTTGCACCCCTGGGTAAAGACAGCCTTATAACCCTCCTTCAAAACAGCCTTAAGGCAGGGACGGTGAACCTGACACCCTTCAGGTGTTGACTCACATGGCCAGCAGAGATTATGGGAATTGCAATCCAACAGTGGAGGGTATCACATTGCCTGACCTGCACTAGAGATTCAGAGAAGGGGCCGTCCCAGCCCCACCTTGAGATGCAGAGGATCAAACTCTGGACCTTCTGCATGCAGAGCAGTTGCACTCTACCAGTGAGCTACACACTTCTCCACTGGGCATCTGGAGGAGAGCTAGATAACAAAGAATTACATTAATGACCATTGGCTTTTTCCGGGAAAGCAGCAATGAAATCTACCCTAGTTGCAATACACAGAGATTTAAAGCTGAGCGAACGCCACACTTCGTATCGATTTCAATTTGCATTTTAAATAAAGCCGGTGCTCTCTTGAAAGATAGCAGAAAGGAGACAGCCTTCCCAATCCAAAGTGTAATTTTTCATTAAATTCCAGGAATGCATTACTAAATATTTTTGGCCAGATACTAAATAACATTGACCGTCATGCTTAACGGTGGATTTCTGCCTACCCAAAGCAGAACGAATTGAGATATTTTGCTGCCTGTAAAGTCCCTCATTGAGAAAGTGAGAGAATGCAGCCATTTGACTTGCAGATATTGGAGGGGTCCATGGGAGACAGAGGCCAACCAATAGGAAGGCCAAGACGGAGAAAAGTTTCCTTGCTTGGCAGAAGAACAAAAGAACAGAACTCAACATTTATTCATATCTTTTGGTGCTTCTCCTGGTTTCATTCTATAAACCATCATATCTAAGCTTAGAGATGGGTGAATCTATCAATTTCAGATTCCCATTTTTCTTTAGTTCAATTCTCCACATTCAGCATCAATTTGCATTTTTTTTTTAAGTACTCATGAAAATTCACCAGCATTTTAGTACAAAATTTTCCTAATATACACATTTTCTTGTCGTTTTGCCAAATATGCACATTTTCACAAAGCAATTTTTGGGTGCTGTTTTAACTAGCATATGCATCTTATGCAAACTGTACCCTAGTATATGTATTTACATATTACTTGGCTGAGGGACAGCATTGCAATATTCAGAGACATGTGACTTTTACAGGATGGCTGTGTTTCTGTTCTCATATTGTTCCAGTAAGTGTGAATTAGGTAAGTTCACCTTCAAATGCAAAATGAATCAAATTTCTCTGACATCCCTATCTAAGCTGTACATCTTACTCCTAAACATTATTTAAGTTATCTTTTGTTATGTTCAAAAAAGCCATTCAAATTTAAATATGGAGCACAAATAACAATGCGCCAAGATACAATTTATCCCACTTAATAGAAGCATAGAACTGTAGAGCTGCAAGGGAACCCAAAGGATGGATATTTATATATTTTCCAAAGTTAACAAAACAATAAAAAACAACAATACAAAAACAAAATAAAATAACACAAAACAAATTGACTTCCCTCTAGTCCCTTCCTTGGTTCCATTATTTATTAATGTACTGTATGTCCATTACTCAGTTTGAAATCTTGTTTAAATTACTTGTTATCTAATTCATAACAAAATTACAAGTATTTTTAAAACCCTGCTAATGTACTGACCTGTGTACAATGCTTCTGTATATATGCAATAAACATCTTCCATTCATTCTGAAATTCACTGTCATCTCTTCCTCTTAGTTTCATTGTCAGTTTTGCCATTTTAGCATATTCCATTAGTTTAATTTGCCAATCTTCTTTCCAATATTGTGCATATTAGCATATTCCATTAGTTTAATTTGCCAATCTTCTTTCCAATATTGTGCTAATAATGTCCATGCAGCCGTAAATACATAAATAAATTATTTTGTGATTTTGGTAGATCCACTCCTACAATACCTAATAGGAAAGCTTCTGGGGGTTTTTTTTAACAAAGGTTATTATAAACAACTTATTCATTTCATTATAAATCATTTCCCAATATTTCTTTATGATTTTACAATCATAATTTTACAATCCCACCACATATGAAAGAATGTCCCTTCCATAATTTTACATTCCTAACATTTGCTTTCCTTAGATTTAAATATCCAACCATTTTATAAAAACCTCTTATGAAGGAAAGTCCACCACCTTCTGAGGTAATCCATTCCACTGTCAAATACAGTGGTACCTCGGGTTACAGATGCTTCAGGTTACAGACGCTTCAGGTTACAGACTCCGCTAACCCAGAAATAGTACCTTAGGTTAAGAACTTTGCTTCAGGATGAGAACAGAAATTGCGTGGTGGTGGCACGGCGGCAGCGGGAGGCCCCATTAGCTAAAGTGGTGCTTCAGGTTAAGAGAACAGTTTTGGGTTAAGAACGGACCTCCAGAATGAATGAAGTTCTTAACCCGAGGTGCTACTGTAGCTCTTACCATCAGAAAGTTCTTCCTAATGCTTAGCTGGAATCTCCTTTCTTGTACCGTATTTTTTGCACCATAACACTCACTTTTTTCCTCCTAGAAAGTAAGGGGAAATGTCTGTGCGTGTTATGGAGCGAATGCCTGCGGGTGGCGGGGGGATCTGCTGCAGTCGTGAGCAGAGGATCCATGGTTCCCCTTCCTTCCCTCCTCCGTGGTTACAAAGCATGGATCCACATGGATCCTCAGGATTTTTGCATTGGGCTACTCCAAACTCACTGTCAGATCACATGTCTGTGGCCACAGCATGAACCACAAAAATCATATATGCACTATTTCGTTTAGAATATTTTTTTTCTTGTTTTCCTCCTCTAAAAACTACGTGCGTGTTATGGTCTGGTGCGTGTTATAGAGCGAAAAATACGGTAATTTGAATCTACTGGTTCAGATCCTACCCTCTGGAGCAGCAGAAAACAAGCTTGCTCCATCTCCCATTTGATGGCTTTTCAGATATTTGAAGAAGCCTAGTGTGTCACTACTCAGCTTGTTCTTCTCCAAGCTAAACATACGCAGCTCCCTCAAGCATTCCTCATCAGGCTTTGTTTCCAGACACTTCGTTGCCCTTCTCTGCCCACATTCCAGCTTGTCAATATCCTTCTTAAACTGTGGTACCCAGAACTGGACACATGATGGAGATAAGCTTCTTTTTGCTGGTAGTTTGCAGTTAGAAGTTGCCAGCCACCAATACCTTAAAAGCATGGCCAATAAATCTAAAAATAAAGAAGTTAATTCACCCTTGTGAGTCCCCATAATGGATGGTATATTTAATGGCTTCAGTGAGAAAGAAAATAATAATTTGAGATTAAAGAAGGGACCCGATAAAGGCGGCATTTTTCTTAGCATTAAAAGCTCTGCTCCATGTTAATGAAGATAACCGAGGACAATGGATTGCAAGGCAGGAAATGAAGGCAATTTTTATCGAGATGCCACAGCTGGGAATATCTTATCGCCGTCAGAAAGGTACCTGGGTGCACATGGTGTACAAGCAATTTACTGATTTAATTACAAATGGAGATGGCTTTCAAATTGAAACCAAAAAGCTACGGAGATGTGGAAACTCAAAATCTTCACTTTGAAAAGAAATTAAGTGCATCGGGAAAGATAGAAGTTAACAGGCCTCTGATGTGAGCTGCTTTGAAAAAGGATTATTTGTTTCTTTGGTGAACCAAGTGGTCCATGGGAAACTGCCTTATACCAGCCTATGTTTCTATTTGGCCCTGTGTTGTCTAGTAAGACTTTCCAGGGTCTTGGACAGGTGTATTTCCTATAATCAACCACCTGATCCTTTAGGACAGTGGATTCACTCGTAATTAGTTGGTCCACCTCGATTCCACCACCATCTTGGCTGCAAATCTTGCAAGACCTGCTCCCTGCCTTGCAAGCCTTTTTCCACCTGGCCTATGAGTGTCCCTCACTGACTGACTGACTTGATTCCAGCTACAAAAGCTGAGGCTGCTCAACAGTCTATTGGATTGGGGTATTGATTATTGTAAGCCACCTTGAGCATGTTTTCACTATGGAAAGATGGCATACAGATAAAATGTTGTATGCTTGTATGAATCTCTAGGCACAGATTCAAGAACTGTGCTTTCTCAGTACTGACAGAAGAGAGAGAGAGAGAGAGAGAGAGAGAGAGAGAGAGAGAGAGAGGTGAGTGTCAGCAATATACTGATGGTTGTTGTTGTTTAGTCGTCTTAGTCGTATTTGACTCTCCATGATGCCATGAACCAAAGCATGCCTTGGAAACTCACTTTCTTCTCAAAGCTTCTCCTTTTTTCTGTCCATGGAGTTTTCTTGGCAAAATGCTGGAGTGGTTTGCCAGTTTCTTCTCCAGGTGGATCACATTTAGTCTAAACTCTCAGCTATGACCTGTCCATCTTGGGTGGCCCTGCACGGCATAGCTCATAGCTTCTTGGAGTTATTCAAGCCCCTTCGTCACGACAAGGCAGTGATCCATGAAGGGGATACTGATGGAACTTCTCCTCAAATTCCCTGATGACTGCTCCCAGAGGCTTCAAGCAGCTGTTCAATAAAGTGGGTGGGATAGCTAAACCCTGGGAGACCTCACAGGACAAAAACCAAAGGCCCAAGCCGAAGTGGCCTAATGCTGTTTTCTATAGACACTTGTCGAGGGAGGAGCAGATCCACCGCAAAACAGTGTCCCTGGCTCACAAATCTTCCAGGCTGTCCAGAAAGATGTCATCCATGGTCATTGATTTCAAAAGCCACCCAGAGGTCTCTCTCCCATGAAAGACCATGAATCAGGGTGATCAAGTCTGTTTCTGTCAAGATCTTTCAATATTTGTGGACACAGTCATGGTGAGGCCTCACCAAGGCAGACTAGAGTGGTACTATTACTTCCTTTGACCTGGACACTAGACTTCTGTTGATGCTGCTTCATGGAAACAAATGTTGATATCTTACAATGTAGACAAGAATGTCTCTTGTCTGTATTGATGCCATGGGAATGGTTAATGGATTGTTCTGTGTGTATCAAGCACTTGGCCACATCATAAGACTGCAATAATGGAAACTGATCTAACAGCAATGAAGCACTTCATGCTCTGGACCAAAGGACCTAACTGTCTTACTTCAATCCATACCCTTGGTTGATTCAAATACTTGCCAGCTGGGAAGGAAGCCTTCTGTAGCACTATGGTGGGCTAAACCCATTCATTCCTCTTTAAATGACAATGGGATCCTTTGCAATTCATGAACCTAGCTTTATCATGGCTATTAGCATCTGAGTAGGACAATCACTGAATGCCACCCATTAACTTCAATGAGTTTACTC